GGGGCACTGGGGGGACACTGGGAGGCACCAGGGTGACATTGAGGGGCGCTGGGGGACACTGGGAGTGCATTGAAGGGCACTGGGAGGTCACTGGGGAGAATTTGGGGGGTCCTGAAGGGATTTTGGGGGTTTTGGAGGGGTCCTGGGGGGCTTGAGAGGATTTGGAGTGCTGCATTCTTGGGGTGCTGCATTTTTGGGGTGCTCTGAGGGTGGGTTTGGGGGTCCAGGGCGGTTTTGGGGTGGGATGATTTCGGGGTGCAGTGATTTTTGGGGTGCTGTGGTTTGGGGAGAGTCTGGGACAGTTTTGGGGTGCAGCATTTTTGGGCTGTGACATTTTTGGGGTTCCCAGTGCGGGGTGCAGAACTTCAAGCGCCGTGAGAAATGTTTCAAGTGTGGCGTCCCCAAAGCCGGTGAGTGACCCCAAATCCTGGGATTTTACCCCAAAACTTTGGAGAACACCCTCCTAAATGCCCTAAACTCCCCCAAAACTCCCCAAAATTATTGGGGTGCCTCTCAACATGCATGGAACCGCCTGGATTTGTGGGGGAATCCCCGGTTTTGGGGTTCGATCACTGATTTCGGCATTTTTGGGGTTTTTTGTGGTTCCTTCACTGATTTTTGGGGTTTTTTTTGGGGTTCAGTCCCTGGTTTGGGGTTTTGGGAGAGGGGGTTCAATCCCTGATTTTGGGTTTATTTGGGTTTTCTTGGTGGTTCCATCCCTGATTTGGGGGTTTTTGGGGGGTTCCATCCCTGATTTGGGGTTTTTTTAGGTTTTCTTGGTGGTTCCATCCCTGATTTGGGGGTTTTTGGGGGGTTCCATCCCTGATTTGGGGTTTTTTTGGGGTACTTTGGGGTTTTTTGGGGGGTTCAGTCCCTGATTTTGGTTTTTTTTTGGGTTCAGACACTGATTTTGGGGGGCTTTTTGGGTTTTTTGAGGTTCAGTTTCTGATTTTGGGGCTTTTTTGGGGGTTTTCAATCTCTGATTTTGGGTTTTTTTGGGGTGCAGAGGCCGAGCGTGTCCCCAGGTGTGCCCAGGTGTGCTCAGGTGTGATCAGGTGCCCCTAGGTGTTCCCAGCTGCTCCCAGGTGTGCCCCCAGATGTGCTGAGGTGTTCCCAGCTGCTCCCAGGTGTGCCCAGGTGCCCGCAGGTGTGTCCCCAGGTGTGCCCAGATGTGCTCAGGTGTGATCAGATGCCCCTAGGTGTGCCTAGGTGCACCCAGGAGAGTCTCCAGGTGTGCCCAGGTGTGCTCAGGTGTGATCAGGTGCCCCTAGGTGTGCCTAGGTGCCCCTAGGTGTGTCCCCAGGTGCGCCCAGGTGTCCCCGCTGTCCCCCCAGCCATCATCCTGCGGAACCTGCACCCCCAGAGCAGCCTGGAGTCCATCCTGGCCGCGCTCGCTCCCTTCGCGGCGCTCTCGGCCGCCAACGTGCGCGTGATCAAAGATCGGCAAACGCAGCTGAACCGCGGCTTCGCCTTCGTGCAGCTCAGCACCATCGTGGTACTGGGGAGACTGGGGGGGACTGGGGGGACTGG